ACAAAAGCAAGTCCCGCCTCATGCAAAAAGCCAGAGCAGCCAGTCGCACGTAACTCTCCCCTCCTACTAAAACCGACGAGCTCGGACACACTCACCTCGACCGAGATGGGAGCGGCGCCGGTGAAGCAGGAAGTGGCCTGGTCCAGACCCAAGTTCGCCTTTACCTTAGAGAAGGCCAACTGATTCATGGCAACCAAACGAAAAAAAATATCGGGAATATTGCGGGGAAAAGGGGCGACAGCAGATGATGATCAGCGATGGCGTTTTAACCATTTCGAGAACGCTATTACATAGCTGATGACAAAAAAAAGGCGGGCATATCCTGGTAAACTTGTCGACAAGGTTCGACAACGGATGAAAGGCGACGGCCTATCAACCATTTTGAGAATGCTCGCTGAACACAGCAAAAAAAAGGGATTGTTCAGGTTAAATTTCCGGGACGAGGTCCGACAACAAGTGCTCAGCGACGGCTAAAAACATTTTGAGAATGCTTGCTGAAAAAACGTTCCGGACAACGTTCGGCAACGAAGGATCGGCGACGCCCCCGACCACCACCACCACCACGGGTGCAGTCGACATGGACACCAAGACAGTTAAGTGCCATCTCGCTTTATACCTTTCCCTCGCTGCTGCATACCCATCAAAACATCGTGCACTTCGAGAGTAAAAAATTGACGCAGGGGCAGAGGCCGCAACCGCACGAACCGCCTCTTTCTCTCCTCAGGTACACAGAAAGGCAACCAATACCCCCCCCCTGCGCCCCCGTCCTGTGGGAATATTACTCGATCCTCTCGAGTAGGCGAGGTCAGCGGTCTAACTGCTAAGGCATGCAAAACATGAGAACATCACCCCCCCCGCTTCTCTTGCTTGTCTTGTTTTTTCGTGCACGGGGTTGCTTAGCATGAGCTACCATGGTCACGGCTTAACGGCACCACTACGTACCGCGTTGGCGACACCGAAGCCGCAAGGAGCGCCGCCCCCTGCGCCGTACTGGTGCATCCTCGCGTGCGCCAAGCCCTGCCATTGAAGCGAACAAGGGAGGGAGAGAGAGACAGACAGAGACAGCGAGACAGCGAGACAGCGAGACAGAGAGACAGAGAGACAGGCAGGCAGACAAGCAAGACAGACAGACAAGCAAGACAGACAGACAGACAGATAAGACGAGATACAAAAAAAGAAAATAAAGGCAACAAAGACATACACACAGGAGACAGATAGCGAGACAGACACGACAGACAGACAGGAGCAGAGAGGCATGCACGAAACAGTTGGCAGCGAGTGGGGGCAGAAGTGAGCCAACAAAATGTCCGGCTCACAACGCGCTCACCTACAACAACATACGCACCGTCCCTGTGCCTTACGGTGAGCGAGCAGACAAAACGAAGGCACACAAACACCGCGCCACTCTGCCGATTGGAGTTGGAGGTACCAAGCTACAACACCAGGGTGTT